ATTTTTGAAAAAATTTTACACAGGCGACTAATAATCTCCTATTTACTAGTGATCGGTACGTTACTGAGCCTACATTAAATGCGCATGCGCCAGAAATCCGTCCCGTCTAAAAAGGTAAATTTTCACGAGCTGCTCAAACCAGCTGTTTCAGCGACAAAAATAATCACGTGGTCATAATTGACGAATATTAAGCGTCCAATTTGATCACGTGATTCTTTTTGTCGCTGAAACAGCCGGTTTGAGCAGCTCGTGAAAATTTACCTTAACACACAACACTGTGTACGTTTACACGGCACGCTTTACGCCGAAGTTATGACATCGATGTTATGAAACTGGCCAATCATAACTGTTCCTCTGAAGAATGGAATGACCGTGATTGGCCAGTTTCATAACATCAATGTTATAACTTCGGGGTTAAGCCTATCGCACATGAAATACATAATGGAGCATAAACATAACATAAGACCGCTCGACCAATGAACATCTTATGTAAATCAATATGGCGACTTAATGCTGGATGCTCATTGGTCCAGTGGTCTTATGTCATGTTTATGCTCTATTATGCATTTCATGTGCGATAGGCTTAAAGCGTGCCGTGTAAACGTAGTAAGGGTGGAGTCCCATGAAGCGTATTTGCCGCGTATCGCGTAACCGCGTAACCAATCAATAATCAGTAAAACGCGAAATCACAACAGCGAATCGCTTCTGATTGGTTACGCGGTTACGCGATACGCGGTAAATACACCTCATGGGACTCCAGCCTAACTGTCTGACTTGCGACTTATTGTAGAAGGCCTAAGGTGCGTTCCGTATCGCGCATGATGCATCCATTGTCCTTGTTTAACATTTGGTGAGCAACAAGGATAAACGACGCATTATGCGCATCATGCGAGTTACGGAACGCACCCCTAGTCCGCCTAGTATGACGCGATGAATCTCAAGTCTATGTTAATATTGGTTGGACCACGCCGGAATCTGGGTGATCAAATGATACGGAGTAATGAAGCGTGTTTAATCGTCGAGTCTGTTTCGTAAGCCGGTTTGTTTGAATGTAAAAGGAGTAATAGACGTGTGAAATTTTACAAAAGAGCAAAAGGAGAAAATGATTGATGTAAAAGACGATGAGACCGCGATTGCGGAAAATGGCTCGCAGAAAACGGCCAAACAGCTACAAAAGGAAGCCAAGAAGTTAGCTAAGTTAGAGAAATTTAAGCAAAAGCAAGAAAAGACTGAAAAACTAATAAACGTGAAAGAAAAATCAGAGGTGAGTGTGAAGCACGTTAAATGTCTTGGATCTGACAGAGTAGAGAATTCTATCGAGAGCGTGTGGAATAAAACCTTTTATTGTGCGGAGCCCCTAAGAGGTATGGTAGAAGCATGTTGGAACATATTGGAACTTATGACGCAAACAAATTTTTTATCATTTATATAGAGTCTAATCATTTATTAGGTACTTTCATTATTGAAACTTATAAAAGAGTTTCACAATTCTAATGTAAGTTCTTACTTGTTTGACAAATACGTAATTATTTATGAATTAAACAACTTTATTAATCGTTGAGTCTATTATATTTAAAGATATAAGAATACAAAAAAAAAGATCAATATTAATTGTACACATCAGATTATGTCGAACATAATAGTAATCTCAAGAATAGAATATTTAATGAATCTCAATATAATTAGAATTAAGTATATTAAAAATCAGTTTTACTTGAATTATAAAATTAATACTTATTCCAAACTTATCTGTATCAATACTCTGCAAGGCCTTAGAATTGCTCAGTATTAGTGCAATAGGAAGAGGGGCAACAACGATGTTCAATCTGTAAACGTACATTCAGGGAGACCTTATTAGCACTATTTATGTCATTCTATGTTTTATGTCAAATGAACGATGAAGCTAGAATGACAAATAGTGTCTCCCCAGATCAGGGACTTAAACCAAAATTACATTATAGATACATTTTGGCTGGTTACAATTATGGTCTGAGGATATCCAATTTCAGTATTGGTTTCAGTTCTTTTGGTGATAATGGTGACCGTTATGAGTATAATTACTGAAACCAAAAAGGATCGAAATTCAAACAAACCCAGTAATCGTTATGGTAAAAGAACTAGAACCAAAAGTTGGATTTAGCCTTGGATCATTATCTGGACAGAATATTTTTGATCCGAGTCCTTGCTCCAAATGCACTCAAAACTAACTTAAAAGTTACGTTCTGTTTCATACATAATATATCATTTTATCCTTGTTGTTAATTGAATATTAAAGAAGGATAAAATGTACATCATGCATATCCTGTGTGAAATGGAACACACTCATAATCAATGCCATCTATTGAAGAATAGAACCATCTATTTGAATTAGTTTAATGCTAAATTACTATATTCCAACATGTCTCTATTTCATCAAACTAATTTATCATAGTTCTCTTACGATTCTTAAACTTTATTGCATTTTAAGGCTTTTGATAAATGTTCAGTATAATGATCCCTTCCCCCTTCCTCCTTTGATTTTTCTATAATTTTGTAAATTAAAATAAAAATACAAAAGGGCTACGAGCCAAGCGAGATGTTTATTGCTAATTGCTTATTTAACACTTAATATAAACAATAACTATATATGTTTTAAACCATATTGAGTCATTATCAATGTAACAATAGCTGCGTTCAGCAGAGAAAGCAGCTTTGCAACTATTGTAAAATTCTTCATTAAAATGATTCTTAGATTCTTACTTTTGATTTCTTATGGTTTTAAGTGTATAAACCAATCATATTGAAGAATTTCATCGTTACAAACTGTTTTTTTGCTGACCGTAGCCAATAATTACAAAATATGATCCGTTACCATAATTTTAAGCCAGAATATTAAATGGAAAGAAAAATAATCTTACAATTTTCGCTCGCATATCTTATAAGTAACGAATAATCCCATGGCCAATATATTGCTGTTTCATGTCACTCAAATAATGAATTGATTTGTGTAGTCAATAAGGTAAATTGGAGAAAGATAGCACAAGGGGGAAGATGTCACTTTATTTATATTTTTGTTATAGAACATATATTGGCCATTGCAACTGTGTAAAAGTTTATAGTAGAAATATGTAGACAATGGCGCAATTATCAAAAAGTTCATGCCAATTAACATTGGAAAATATTTAACAAAGTGCGAAAAAGTAGGTCATGAAATATGCTCTTTATAATATTTGGTACACTAAAGTTTGTGGTTCGATGCTTATTGTAAAACTGAACAAATGATATACGGTTTTGATCTGTTTCCTGGCAGTCATATGACTGATATAGATTATAACTTATAATATTCTTATATGCGTAAAAGTTGCAATTGAATATTTGTCTTACACTTGGAGATAAGATAACATAAATACAAAACACAATTTTTTCTGCTTAAAACCGTCATTATAACGGTTTTATGAATTAAAATTTTGGATGCTTTGTATAATTCAAAATATTTTAAATTAATGAAATGCTGTTTAAACAAATAAAAGTCTGTCTAACTTACTTCCTAAATTATTCTTTTACATATTTCCTCAATTTATATTTTATCATGCCTTTATATGTTTTTATAGCATAAATTCTTAATTATGGATTGTAAATAAGTAAAATATGCAAGTTTATATTGCATTACATTATTTAATTGCTTGTGATATCTTCTCCCATAGGAGGTGGCATCTTATCCATATACAGGGTGTTAGTTAAGTATGTTCCCAAACTCAACAGAGCGATTCTTTGGTTTATTTCAAGTAAAAAAGTCCATATAAACATGTGTCCTAAACAGCTTAGTTTCCGAAATAAAAAAATTTTAACGCGTAATAATAATCTATTTATTTGAAAGAAATACAACTTGAACTAGTCAAAAACTAGTCAAAAACAAAAAAACAAAAACAGGTTTCAGTTCTTCTGACGAAATAAAACAATTAGATGAATTGTTGAAAATGTTCACCTTGCGCCATGATACATCCATCGAGCCTTCTTCTCAAAGATTGACGTATACGCTCAAAAATACTAGGTGTGTTACGTATTGCCTCGCATGAAGCAACTATTTGATTCCTCAAATCATTCTCATTCTCAATTGATGTGGTATAAACCAATGATTTCAGATGTCCCCAAAGGAAATAATCCAAACGATTTAAGTCTGGTGATCTAGGAGGCCAAGGTTGAGTTCCTGCTCGACCTATCCTGTATTTTGGAAACTAAGTCGTTTAGAACACATGTTTATATGGACTTTTTTACTTGAAACCAAAGAATCGCTCTGTTGAGTTTGGGAACATACTTAACTAACACCCTGTATATAGGTTGAAGATACCACTTTTGCAGGGTATGACATATCAATTTTTTCCAATACTATGGAATATTAAATGTTTAATTCGTTAATTTGTATAAATACAGATTTCTAGAATATAAATAGTATTAACTACAGAAATCAAAGCCTTAAACGGTCTAGCTAGATCTTAATGCTTGTATGATTCTTATGTGAATTTATATACTACGTATGTAGTCCCCAGAAACGCGCGCCGAAATGATTTTTCGGTTTTGAAACGCTAACTAGTTTGTGTTATCACATGTACGGTCCTATAATATATTATATTATAAATAATATTTTTTCGTTGGTTTTTTAATTCAATGACATTAAGAAGTTATTTAAGAGTAAAGGCTTAAGTGTGACGTCTTCCCCCGATTTAATTTAAAATTCGCTGGAACAAATGGCACAGGTCATCTTTGCTTGTCATAGGCGAATTTTGGCGATGGTATGGTACATGTACCAAGGTTGTTATTGGTAGAGGCGGAGCTTATTGTGAATAACCTATGCCACAGTTATTCGCTAAAACGTACTGGTTCTTTTCAAACGCGCAAATTAGATACTGTTTAAAAAGGCTAATAAAAGAATAAGTGTAATAATGAGTTTTAAAGCATATTTGGCTGTCTTAATAAGTGAAATGTATAATGACGAAAATGATGAAGTATCTCTAGTAGAAACTTATAAGCACTTTTTTGCAAAACGTGGAAAAAAGAGAAAAATTATGACATTATTAAACACAAACGAAAGACAACATCATAATCGCCCCGAATTATATTCCGAATTTTGGATTGATTTATACACTGAATATGACTTTTTTCTTATTTTTCGAATGAAACAATCAACATTTCAAAATTTACTACAAATTATAATGCAACAACAAGAAATGCAAAGAGTAAGTAATCGTAACTTAATAACTTCAATACTGTACAATTTATTGTAAATTAAGTACAATCGCATAATATAATTTAGGCATTTACTGGAGGATTTGAATCTGTGCTACCACAGAAGATTCAACAAATAGCTATATATTATTTAGCAAATCAAATATCTATGGCACAGATTGGAGACAAATTTAATGTAGCATCATCGACTGTTTTCAATTGTATAAACATTTGGATAAATTGTATTTTAAAATTGGTACTTATAGTAATACAATGGTCCACAATGAATCAACGAATCAATATACAAAATAAATTCAAGGATATTGCAGGTTTTCCAGGTATAACTAAATATATCGCATTAAGGTTTAATTAATAAATGTTGTTGATACAACACAAATATTTTTATTTGATAAAATTATTAATTATAATGTTTAAGGTGTAATTGGGGCAATCGATGGTTGTCACATAAATGTTATGGCACCAAGTGCTCATCAAAAATGTTATCAAAATAGATATTTGACACATTCAATAATTTTACAAGGGATATGTACAGCAGATTATCTACTTACAAATGTATTTGTTGGTCATCCCGGATCTGCTAATGATTGCAGAGTTTTATTATTATCTAATTCACGTTTATACATCGATGTTGAAGCAAATGGATACTCTAAATATTTTTTATCAGATCAACATTTATTAGGTGATAAAATATACCCTATAAAAGAATGGCTTCTACCTCCTTTTAAAGATTATGGCAATATTACACACAGGCAGACAACATATAACAAAGTACATAGTAAAACAAGAGTAAAAATTGAAAACTGTTTCGCTTTATTGAAAGGATGATGACGAAGGTTGAAATATATAACAGTATATAAAATAGCAAAAGCTTCAAATATTATAATGGCACGTTGTGCTCTATATAACTTTTGCCTCCTAAATAATGATTTGGTTGAAACACTATTTGATGCTAATATTGAAAGAATTGATGCAATACAATTTTATAGAAGAGATGAAAGAAATATTGCGATTGATAAAAGAAATGCTATAATGATGCAATTGTCAGAAAGAAGATAAGATATAATGTTCTCTTAAGTTTATAAACATATTATTTATTCTCTTTGGTTTAATACATATTTCCCGCAATGTTTGTTATTCTTTATAAATACACATAATTATATAAAAAGAATAATAAAAAATAATAGAAACAAGTCATATTATAATTTATAATAGTAGGGGAGAACGAGGTTAATCTCTGTACAGTTTTCCTTTTCTCTCCCGTTTCCTTTCCTCGACAATGGGCTCCCGTGATGATTCCTGGTCGGCGACTATTTCTTCTCCGAAACTCCAAGAAGAAATATTCGACGACCAGGAATCATCGCGGAAGTCCATTAGCAAGAAAAGTAAGCGGGAGAGAAAAGGAAAACTGTACATATTAGCCCCGTTCTTCCCTATTTTTTTAAAATAAACTTTTTCCTTTTCATTAATATCACATATTATACGTAGAAACTCTTACAATTAGTAGGAACTCTTAGAAATGTTTTAATATATATTTATATTAAGTACAATCAATACGATTGCCTTTAACTTTAGACTATCAAAGTAATTTATATTAAGTCTTATAGTCAGGGTTGGGTAAGTTACTTTTTTCTTTTAACTAAGTTAAGTTAAAGTTAACAACCTTGAAAATTTAACTTAGTTAAGATACAAGTTAAT